TGAAACAGAGCATTGAATCAGCGATTTAGAAGATGAGGTAACAGAAAACACCCAATCAGAACAGAAAAAAGAAAAAAGAATCCAAAAAAATGAGGATAGCTTAAGAGGCCTTTGGAACAACATCAAGCATACCAACATTCGCATTATAGGGGTACCAAAAGAAGAGAGAGAGCAAGGAGTTAAAAAACTACTTGAAGAAATAAATACAAAAAACTTCCCTAACCTGGCTTAGGAAACATGTGTAGACAGACAAGCCAAGGAAGTGCAGAGAGTCTCAAAGATGAACCCCAAGAGGCCCACACCAAGACACATAATTAAAATGGCAATGGTTAAAGACAATGAGAGAATCTTAAAAGCAGGAAAAAAAAAAGCAGCTAGTTACCTACAAGGGAGCTCCCACAAGACCATCAGCTGATTTCTCAACAGAAACTTGGGGAGGCACAAAATATTCAAAGTGATGAAAAGCAAGAACCTACAACCAAGATAATCTACCCAGGAAAGCTATTATTTAGAATCAAAGGACAGATAAAGAGCTTCCCAGACAGGAAAAAGCTAAAGGAGCTCATCACCACCAAACCAGTATTACACGGAATCTTAGAGGGACATCTTTAGGACAAAAAGACAGAAAAAAAAAAAAGATAAAACATATGAATAAACTGGCAATAACTATATATCCACAGCTACTTTAAATGTAAATGGATTAAATGCTCCAATCAAAAAACAGGGTGGCTAAATGGAAAAGAAAACAAAGCCCTTACATATGCTGCCTACAAGAGACTCACTTCAGATTGAAAGACACAGACAGGCTGAAAGTAAGGGGATAGAAAAAAGACATTTCATGAAAATGGTAATGGAAAACAAAAAAAACCACCTGGTATAGCAATACTTATACCAGATAAGAGAGACTTTAAAACAATGGCTATAACAAGAGACAAAGAAGGACCCAGTAATCCCACTTCTGGGTATTTATCCAAAGAAACCCAAAATGCTACTTCGAGGGGCGTGTGCATCCATATGTTCATTGCAGCATTGTTTACAATGGCCATGACAGCAACCTAACTGTTCATTAATAAATGAATGAATAAAGAACGGGTGGTACATATATACAATGGAATATTACTCAGCCATAGAAAAGAATGAAATCTTGCCATTTGCAACACCATGGATGGATCTACAAGGGTATTGTGCTGAGTGGAGTAAGTCAGACAGAGAAAAACAAATACCATATACTTTCACTTTTATGTGGAATCTAAAGAACAAAATAAATGAACTAAACGGAAACAAACTCATAGATACAGAGAACCATTTGATGGCTGTCAGATGGGAGGGTGGGGGATGGGTGAAAAAAATGGAGGGATTAAGTACAAATGGGCAGTTACAAAAGTCACAGGGATGTAAAGTACAACATATAACCAATAACATTGTAATAACTATGTACAGTGCCAAGTGGGTACTAGACTTATTGGGGGGTATCCCTTCGTAAGTTACAATATATAAATGTCTAACCACTACATTGTATACTTGAAACGAATCTATTGTATGTCAACTATAACTGAAAAATATTACTTGAAAACATTTTATGAAGAAAAATAAAAATTGCAAACTAAAAGCAGGTCATGGCGGGTAGTCACATCCTAGGCCTGTAGATTCCTTGACAAAGGTCGTTAGTCACCTTAAGTGAGCCCGTCGATTTGTCTTTCTGCATCTAAGATAACACACCTTTGAAATGTCTGAGTAATCTCATTTTCCAGACCCCTCGTGGCACTGTTTTGTTTCCTAGCGATTGCTATGAGTTTGGCTCAAATAAACTCACAGAAATTCTCTACAGGTTTGGATGTTTCTTACGCGAACATCTTCCCTGCACCTCCTGCCCCCTCCTTGCTCCCAGAATGCCCCCAGTGATGGCCGCCTTCCAGGCCAATACCACACCCCCCCCCGCTTGCTCCATCCCACCCAGCGTCCGAGCTAGTCCTTCGCTAGCTGGAGGCCTGTCCTGTGCCCTCACCCAACCCGTCACACTGCAAATACCATCTGTCTGGAAGATGCCCAAACCAGTATCTCCACCTGGCCTCCCCCAGCCCGCGCTGGAGGTTTGGGGGGGCCTCTGACTCTTCTGTTGCAGTCAGGCTGCCCCATCGAGGCTCCAGTGCACAGCTTCCAGGAGCCTCCGGCAGCTCCTATGCCCAGCGTGTCCTGTCCGGCCCACCTCCCACCTCTGCTCCCTCACCCCGAATTCTGTGGGTTCTGCCACCCGTGTCCTCCTGGGGCTGCCCTCCATCTCCCATGTGCCCCCTTTTCTCTGGTCACTTAGAACTGAAAAAGGATAGAGGGGATGAAGGCTCATTGGTGACGTCATACATCTCACTCACCCTGGCTGTCAGCTTCCAGCTGACTGCTCACCCACGCCCTGGAGGAACAAGCTCTCGGCAGCACCCTGGACGCCATTTGTAAAGTTGTTTCTACAAAGTAGGATCGTGACACAAAGTTTCATCCATTTAGTTTTGAATTAGAAATTCTCCAAGTTTTATACCTTCTTTGTGAATTCGGAAAAAGACTCAATTGTCTACATGGGCAAATTGCTCCTTCACTGTCGTTTTGAAAGGAAAGCACACTGAGAAGTAACTGGATCAAAAATGCCATTAACTGAGCTTACTTTTACTGTGACCACATTTATTATGCGATGGCAACACGGTTGTCAGTCTGCCCATGGAAATGGGTTCTCCCAGCACTCAGTCTGGAAGTTGAGTTAAGGAACCTGAGAACAGACTGCCATGAGCCTCTGGGTGACCGGCAGGCAGCCTGTGTCCGGAGCTGGGCTGCCCATGAGCAGACCTCTGGCCTTCATTTCTGCAGACACAGAGGGCCCGGTTCCCTCCCAGCAGGTGGTTTTCACAGGCCACTCAAGGCCAACACTTTGCTCCCCAGCAGCTGTCACACCCCTTGCTGGCTGCGTGCATTCCGGAGGCTGGGCTGCTGTCTAGGTCTGCCTGTTCCCTGGATTCACCTCCGTCTGTATGGAGCCGGGTGCCTGTCGCACTGAGTGAAATTTGCTAAGAGGCCAAAAGGAGGACGACGTGACCCAAGGAACACCAGTGGGCACTCAGTAGCTTGTCTACCATGAGAACATTAGCCGTGGCCTCGCTGTACCAGGTTCAGCGCTGCTGGAAGATGGTCTGAAGGAGCAGAAATGCCCGCGTTCCTGTAAACATGAAAAAGACCCAGGAGGATAAACCTTGTCTGCCGTTCATGCCATGTAGTAAGAGCAGGTAGGTGGGTATAAACACGGACTCACAGAATTAAGTTCCTTTCACTAATCGATTTATATGGAAACCTAGTCTTATGCAGGTGGGTCTGTGTTCACAATAAGGACACATTTAAAACAGAACAGACTAAATGGAACTCAATACATCTCATAATATATATAAAATATTAACTCAAAACAGATTATACATATACATGGAAAACCTAAACCTAAAAAAACTTCTGAAGCACAGCAGGAAAATCTTTGTGCTTTGGGTTAGGCAAAGGTTTCCTGGCTACGACACTAAAAGTACGAGCTATAAAAGGACCAACTAATAAACTGGCCTTCATCTAAATTAGTAACCCACGCTGTAATGACACTATTAAAATGAACAGACTGCGAGAAAATATTTGCAAATCACATACCTGACAATGGACCTGCATCCAGATGAGATGAAAAGCTCTCAAAACAGTCAGAAAACCCAACTTCAAAAATGAGAAGAGATTTGAACAGATACCTCACCAAAGACATATACGGATAGCAAATGAATGAAAAGATGCTTCACACACTTGTCACTGGGGAGACCCCAATCAAACCTGCAGTGTGCGAGCCTACAGAATGGCCAAGATCAGAATCCCGATGGCAGCAAGCTGGTGAGGATGCGGAGCCCCTGGACGCTACACAGCTGATGAGGTGGAGAAGCCCCGCAGTTTGCAACTGCATGGCAAACAGGCTGAACTGTCTTACAAAGTCAACATGTACTTACCGTAGGGACCAGCGATCCTGCTCCTAGGGGTTCAATCAAGAGAAACGAGAACTTATGTTCACACAAAGCCTGTCCATGAATGTTCACAGCAGCTTTTTTCATGATCTCCCACTTCTGGAAACCAACCCCAAAGTTCCCCAGCTGGGGCCTGGAGAAAACAAGTGTGGTTTGGCCATGTGTGAACACTGCTCAGCAGCAGGAGTCAGCACACGTCCAGAATGCGCCTCCACGCTTTCTGCCAAGTGCTAGAAGCCAGGCTCAGAGGCTCTGTGCTGTGTGAGTCCATTTCTGTGACACCCCCAGAAAGGAGGCACTGCTGCGACAGGGGAGACCACTGCCTGCTGTGGCCTGGAGGAGGGGCTGAGTATGAAGGGGCACATGGAATTTTGGGGGGATGATGAACTGCTCTCCATAGCAATGGTGGTAATGGTTGTAAGGCTGTATGTGCTTGTCAGACTTTAGAGAGCTAGCCATGAGAATGGATGTGTTTACTGTGTGTAGATTATACCTTAATAGAACAGATGAAACAAATACAATAGGCTCATCTACACAGATGTTCACTTTATAGCAACAACTGTCAACAGGGGTAGTGGTTACATAAATATGGCAAGCGATGGAATATTTGTAACCATTAAAAGTCATTTTCTTCCCCCAAATGCAGCGACATGAGAAGCCCATGTTATGTTTTGGGGCAAAGGCAGGCTACAAAGCTATGTATGAAAGGGTTCTAAGGAACCCAAACACACACATCAGTACTCGCATGTTCAGAGATTCAGTGGGGAGACAGCCGGACATCGTACAGTCCGCCCGCTCCTGCACTGGCTCAGTGCTCATCCCACAGGAACCCTGGCCACGGGACACACTGAAGGAGCCCCCAAAGCCAGACATGGCAGCAGGGGACTGGGTGATAAGCATGAGTGTGCTCGATTTAAAAACAGGGTTACAAAGTTGCATGAAACTAGAAAACAGTGGGCAAACAGACCAAGCCGGCACTTTACTTTAAAAACTTTTATTCTGCAGATTTAGAAATTTGAGATTTTTTAATAACCGCAAAAGAAATCCAGTCACACCTAATGATTAACAGAATGTAGTGGTGTGTTATCCAAGCAGAAATCGTGCTGATGTGCCATAATAAATTGTCTATTAGTAAAAAAATACACTTCAGGGCACAGCATTGTATCACAAATTACAGTAGGGATATTTTGCAAGAATTTAATCAAACTAGAGAATTCTGAATAACTGTATTTTTTAAATGCAGCACTTAAAAATGTAACAACTCTGTGCATTCTTTTTCTTAAAAAAATGACCTTGTGTGTGTCATAGAAATGCTGCTTTATTGCTGCAGAGGTCAGAGTTCAAGGCTCAAGAGGTACAGGAGAGGATACAAAGGTAGCCGTAAGAAACTTGGTTTTGTTTATGTATAAAAAAGGTAGTTTATAAAAGTTAATTTACAAACCGAGAACAAAAGTGGTATGCACGCATTATGTACAAGCATCCTTAAAACATCAAAATGTTTAAATGCAGAGCCAAAAAAAACAAAACCATCACTGCCTCTTGCCAAAAGAAAAAAAAAATTAAAAAAAAAAATCCCCAAATAACACCATTATTTTCTTCTGGGTGATGATACATTTTTGAAACCGCCAAATCCACAATTTACTCCGTCTTCTTCATGATTCAGTATCAGATGCGCACAAAAGCCATAAAAGCTCAGTAATACACAGAGAGAATGAGCTAAGAATTAAAAACACGAGGGTAAGGCATTCCTGCTGGTTAGTATGTCTGTGGTGATGTGGTGAATTTAGAGACTCAGAGGCCACGGAACCAGTCGCACATGCTTTGGTGTCCTTCCCTAAGAAAAATGTGTTTTCATATACAATCAGTAATTGTCTTCACTTAATCCCCCCCCAGAGCTATAAGTCCCCTCTTGCTGTACACTTCTGTTAAATCCACTACATTGGTTAAATAGTCCAGGTGCATTTTAAAATGTGTGCACGTTACCTCATGCAGAATAAAATAAATGTGTGTGAACAGGCCAGGGCCACAACAAAGCCTGAAACAGTGCACTTTAGAAACACTATCACTCAAACGCACCCCCTTTACTGGCTGGTATTTTAACGGAAATCAATGTGTGAAATTAAGCAGTGACTGTAAAAAAGTACAATAATCATGATGAAACAGAACGTCTTTGAACCTCTAGCCAATGCCACCAGTCGTCCTACCCAAGCACGCAGCTGGCAGCACGTTTTCTGAGTGCGGTTCAGGTGTGTGCTCACTAACTAACCTTCAACAGTTCAAACAAAACGCTTCATCCTAACAAATGCAGTATCAACTCTAAGAAAAGTGTAACACTTGCTAGAGTGGTGCCATTGAGATTTAGTAAGTTTAACCCAGGTTCACATTATTTAATCAAGTTCCTATATTATCAAAATTAAAAGTGGTCAATCAGGACAGAAACACAGTTTGCTCCCACAAGGTAATTTGGATCTCCGGGAAGACACTTGTTTTGCCAGGTTTTAGGGTCACCTATGAGAGAAAAAGAAGTTCATGTCATTGGTAGTTGGTTCAACTGCTAGTCGTAATGCTTTGCAATCACAAGGCAAACATGCATAATACGTTCAGATATAATTGTCTTCTATTTCTTCAGCATATTATATGTGTAGCAAAACCCTAAGTGCTAGATGAGTACCAGAACTAGTGGGCTGATCACACTGTAAGGTAGAAAAACATCGACTCACTACACTGCATCCCTGAAACTCACAGGACTAGTGCAATATCCTATACCCACTTACTTAAAAAGGACTCTAAGTGCTGGATTTCAATGAAGAGCCACTGGGATCTGATGACTGGAAACTGTTCCAAATTTCCCTTTCATTGTACTTTTTACATTCATGCTTGTTAAAAAATGAGCACAAGTCAGAGGACCACATGCCTGGGATGGCTCCAGCTTGTCCATGCCCATGAACCCATGTAATTGGTTATCAGCGTCCTTCTTTCACTTTCCAAAGTTTGGACAATAACTATGTGATCACCCACTGGGGCTGAGCGTGACAACACATTTCTCACACTCAGCTACAGACCAACAGAACCCTGAGTGGTGCGGCATCCAGTCCTGAGAACGCCCCTTCCCTTTACAAAAGGAAAGGAAAGCAGTGATGCTGCACCGGGGCTGCTCGTCCACCCTGGCAGCAGACTTGCCCATGGGGCTGTGTCACAGGAGGCTGACTGTGCATGTGATGCGGGGCCTATGCGGCTGAGAGTTGCAGCTCGAATTCAGAGGCCCTGGTCATGGACACTGAATGTGCGGAGGCTGGGACGGCTGAATGTCTCCATGGAAGCCAAGGCTCAAGTGACATTCAAAGGGGCTGACTTCTGCTTCCCTCACAGGAACAGTTCTCAACCAGCCATAGGGTGACTGCTTGTCACAACTGGCACGTTCTGGGCAGAGGCCAGGGAGGCTGCTAAACATCCCGCAATGCACAGGATGGCCCCTACAACAAAGAATGACCCGGCCCAAATGTCACCAGTAGGCTGCCATCACCTAAGCGATAGCTGAACCCTGAAGGGCTCGGCACTTTTTAAGTCAGAGTGAGTGATTCCACGTCACATATGGGCGTATGCAATATCATACACAACAAATTCTTTAGGCAATGAGATACAGTCATAACAACTCCTTGGAAGTAAATTAAACAATCTCATCTTTAGGCTCAAGTGTATTTCTAATGCACTAATTTTTGTTGGGATGAAGTCAGTAGTTATCAAAATCTACCCGATTCTCTGAACAGAAATTGATGGCAGCAAAGCATTCGACAGTCAGATAGCATTACACAGAGATACATTTCTCTTCTGGGTGAATACAGTCAAATTTAACACAGGAAAAAGGTGTTTTAATCTAACACAACAACTTAAGTTCTGTGGCATAAAACGTTGGAATAACACATAGAGAAATCATTTGTTTCATACAATACCTGGAAAATACCACTTATAACAAGTAACTACAATAGACAGTTATTTCAAGGACCTTCACTCTAGTTTGGTTCAGAGGACAATCAGAGCTCATGCTACAACCTGACTTTCAGATAGATAACAGTAAAACCTTGGATTGTGAGTAACGTGGTTTGCGAGTGTTCCGCAAGATGAGCAAACATTTCTAATACACATAACATGGTAAATGAGCGATGTCTTGCAATATGAGTAGTTTGTTTCTGGAACGAATTATGCTCGCAAACCAAGGCATTACTGTATATGTTTTTTTTTGTTTTTTTTTTTAAGATTTTTATTGGGGAATTGGGGGGATGGGAACAGTGATGGGGAATTGGGGGAAGGGGTGTATATGTTTTAAATTCTGCTTGATTAATGTTAATTCAAACTAGGCTAATAAAATGTTTCTCAGTGGCATCCATGAGGCAACAGCTTTAATATCTAGTGTGTTAAAATTAATTTAGTAACTTTTCCCCAGAAAACGGGGTACTTGTGAATATCAGGAAATACATATATATTATTTTTATCTTGTGTAGTATTACGTATGCTCCCATGCTCTTTACACTATGGAGCTACTTCCTACTGTACCAAGCTAAAACTGCCCAATGCTTACCTGACCTCCCAAAACTTCAGAAACAGGACTATGAATTTTTGGTTCTGTATCAGGTTCAACTAAAGTGATCTTAAAATATACAAAGTTCCAACTGATAACTGACTTAGTCACCCAAGGAAGTGAGAAATGTGAAAATGCATCGGAAGCTTTGAAATGATGATCTTAAGAGCAAAGAGTCATTTAAAAATAGTGCGTACAATAGAAGTGATTTAGAATTTTACATTGAAAAACCATGGCCAAGTACGATCACAGTGGAAGGTCTTCGTCTTTCAAGTTTCTCTGGTACATGTCCTCTGTAGATCGAAAACTTAACAATAGTAACCAAAACTAGAAATAATTCCATAGAGGAATCAAATCATTTCAGTAAGGAGGTGAAAATGCCTATACACGTAGGACAGTATCAGTTCTCCCACTGCCTCTTAAAAATTTTGACAGAACGAATAATTTGATCGAACACCAAGGAACAGTCAACCTTGGGCCAAATCTTCAATGTTTAAAAGCCAGAAGCGTCTCCACCTCTCCCTGCTCTTCACAACATGTGCCCTACAAAGAAACTCCCCAACACTGGTGACATCTACAAGGCCACAGCAGGAGGCAGCGGTGTGCCGACCATCAGCCCCGGGATCAATGACAGTCCCCAAAGCCCCAAAGGACAGAGTGAAGACAGCATACCCGACGAGGAGTCGGATGATTTTAGAGCAAAAGACCAACCGTCAGGAGTCATGGACGCACAGTGTGGCAGGCGCAGCTCCACGGGCTTCAGGAACTTGAGGCCATGGGGCCCACACATCACGAGGGGGCTCAGCAGTGTCTCACCTGGAGCCGGGGAGTGGAGGGTAGGAGGAGAGGTTAGAGGGGGGCCTCCTTCTGGCCACAGTTCTCTGCCCCCCCCATGATATTTTCAACACCAGATGGGGCCAGTTCTCTACAGCAGCACTAGCAAAACAACGGAAGCCACTTACGCAGTTTTTCCTAGTAGCCACATTAAAAATAAACAGATGAAATCAATCTTAATATTTATGTAGTCCAATATATCCTCAAACTAGGTCAACATGTAATCAGTTGCAGTCACTGTGTATTTTACACTTCCAGCCCATTTCAGCCGAAAACGGCCGCTTTCCAAGGGCCAGCCAGACACATGTAGCTGGGACAACGGCAGTCGGTTACAGGGCCCATTTGGTGGAAGGTATATTTAAATGTACTTTGTAAAAAGGCTACGTGTAGCTTGCGTTTCTAATGCTGTATTTGTTATACACTTGCTTTAAGCAACATATGTTAGTATTCTCACAACATATAAGAAAATGAGCTGAAGCGACGTATTCGGGGATGTGACATGCAGCTGGAAGGTTCTAAAAGGAGTCTAACACAGCTCATTGCCGTAGTGTCTGATGGGCTCAGGGAGGGGGAGACAATGCGCCCTGGAAGCCTTGAGGAGCTCAGAGACTGTCTGTAACACCTGACAGGGTGTGTCACTCATCCTGCTGGGTGTTCAGTGCCAGGTCTGGGGCGGTGGGTGCCCCACGAGGCTGACGTTCCCATCAGAAGACAGCCACAGAGTAAAGCCTGACTGACGGGTGCTACCTAACCCACCTCTAGAGATGGCAGGGGTGAGTGAGTCACAGATAGAGGGGTGTGGTCATCTGAGACCGCTGGGCAGACAGGTGGGGCGCCCCAGATGACGCCTGCGCCGTGTGGACCATCTGGAGTGCTCACCTGACGCCTCGCCGTTCTGTGTGTGGGACGCCCACTGCACATGCGCATGCTGGTGTGCCCAGCTGGACACCGCACCCCAGTGCTCATGGGACAGGCCCCCAACCAGAGGAACGGGCTGTGGCTGGCCCGCGTGGAGGCAGAGAAGGGGACCAGACAATCCTCTCGCCTGAGTACTGTAAGAGCTCACAGGGCAACGCTTACCACTAAGCAGACAGACAGAAAGACAGACATGGTTACCTTTCTCCTTGTCTAAGGGCGGGAGGATGCTGTTGTCCCGGCAGACCTTGAAGTAGATTTCCTGCTCGGTCCCCTCAGGAATGGCTCCCTGTGGGATAATTATACTAACGCCCGTCTCTATGGAACTCAACACCCCTCCGTTGCTGTTAAACACGCCTCGGGCTGTGGCCACCACAGTGTGACCGTCTTCATCGTCATCTTCTTCCACAGCTGAAGGGCTGAGATGGCAGAAATGGCTGGTAAGTGCCCAGAGCCACACAGGTGCTTCCAGTACTACTGGCATCAGTGCTTTCATCTTATTTCCTTTCTCCGTGCAATCAAGAAGTGCCTTACTTTAGCAAGGTAAGCTTTCAGTGACAGACTCGACTCACAAGAGTCACTAAGCATACTCTTTCTGGAGAAATTAATTCCATTTTTGAAGGTAACTAATCAAGCTGCTTTTGTTACTGATTTTTGTAACCAGAACGTACAAAGCTTGATACCTTATTCCCCCAACTACTATCGTTCATTGGTATTAAGAAGTACACTTTAACATCCATATAATTGGTATTTTAAAATTGATAGCAAGTCACGCTTTAATTGGGAGTGCTATCTGTTCTCCTTAGCGATATGTGAGACAATGCTGCATTTCATAACAGATAGCCTCTCAGGCCTGACTAAACGTACTAGGTAGGTCCTACACCTCCCTAGGATTTTAAGTGTGACACGTATGGTCTTTCCTTTCCATTCCCTGAGTCCCAAACACCCCTGCTGTCAAAGGCAAGGCCTCTACAGTTCTGTGAGATAATACAGACTCTGATATGGGAACACCCCAAACACCCGTGAAAAAACGGCAGCACATTAACTTAGCACACAAAGACTACCACACGCGGAGGGGACCAACGACTGCTTAAAATACGGTGGCATCAAGACTTCTAGAAGTAAAATTTTGAACCGGGACCCAATGGTGAGCCAAGAGATGGACCGACCAAATACAAGTCTGTGAAGGGTAGGGCTGCTTCATTCCTGCATGATGGGGCATCAGAGAGGGAGGGAGACGGACACCTGGGAGGTCCTTGGTTCTGCCTGGTAGTGCGTGCACTCCAGCGGGTGGCTTGCGAACATAAGTGGGCTTGGGGGCCTGAGGGGAGCTTACATGTGGTGTGGCCGCAGTGGGTCTGGTGAGTCCCTGCCGAATGACGAGAGAGAGAGGAGCACCTGGAGCGCGGCGCAGGTGGGCTCGCTCTGTCCCATTTGCTCAGACAGCTCCCTCACAGACTTTAAAAGGAGCTGCTGTTTTTTAACAACCACTTGGAGGCTATTACATCTTCAATGTGTTTGAATGTCATTGCTAAACAAACCATAAACAACGCACACAGGTGCTCCTATTTCTGAGATACTCTCCAGAGGGACCCCGTCAATGGAAGGTCAGAGGTTATGGGAAGCCAGGGTTGGTTAAGAGCAGGGGCTGAGGTCAGATGACCAGGGGCTGAATCCAGAGCCCCTCACCCTAGCTGTGTGACCTTGGGCAAACTGCGGTGTCACTCAGCCTCAGCTCTCAGTAAGATGGGTAACGATAGTGCCTGCTGGCCTCCGTGCCTGTCAGCCTCAGCACTTTACTGGCATTACCTGTGCCTCTTGCAGGACCGTCTACGTAATGGCAACAGCATTTTGGGCGACACTATTCAGGTTAACGTTTGGGTTAAAACTATCATTTCAAGTCCCAGATCATATAAACTACCTCAAGTTCATGTCAGACAAACCACAAGCCCAAGGAAAAGGCAAAAAATCTTACCTCACGGGCACAGCTTTGGAGAGCGTGCTGACATTGTTTATCTGATACTTGGGCTTATCTGCATGGATGGAGAAGGCATCGATGCCGCTGTCTGCCTCGGGGGTTTGGGCCAAGGCGTGGGCTTTCAGGAGACTTTTTGGAGAAGTGGGGATCTTTGAAGACAAGTCAGGTTTGTGTGTGGTCTCACTTGGCAGAAGGTTATGACTGAATTTAGGACTTTCAAACTTGCGTTCAAATGGCCGAGCAGAGCTTGTGTATGGTTTTGGGGTGAAGCGATTGTAGGTGGGAGTGACCGTTTTCGGAGTCTGCTCGGTCCCATTCACTGGACCTTTATCTGGGAAGCTTTTCTGGGAGTAGAAAGTGCACTGAGCAGGGTCTTCTCGGTTCGGTGGCCTGAAAATCGCTGGCTTATGTTGAGATGGAGGTGGCTCTGGTTTGGACACTAAAGAATTCTGAAAATCCAGTGACACTGAATTACCTGAAAAATAAACGTACACAAGGCTTTTAAAAACTTCCTGAAAGAAGTTTTCACAGCCCCTCTGAGCTCACTCCCATCTTAGCTGTCGTGGTGCCGAAGTCAAGGCCTAGTTTGGGCTCGCCAGTCAGAGGGCGGCTCTTGAACTCAGGTGGCTGTGTGTGGCTGTGTGAGGGGCCGGGGGGGGGGGTGCTTGGACACGTGTGGTGCTATTAGTAAGTGTACCCTGCTGCCTGCGAGACAGGGGCATGGTGCTAAGGGCCAAGGCCTCCAGAGACGGGTGTCTGAGTATCCCTTCTGCAACGTCCATAGCAAATTAGAACAAAATGACACATTCGGCTGTGTTAAAAGAAAAAAAATCTCTACTACAAAACTCACTGTAATTCAAGTCAGAAGAAAAGCCACAGTTTGGGAGAAGCTATTAACACACATATAACTGATAAAGAATTAGGATCCAAAATCTATGAAGAGCACCTATACATCAACCTAACAGGATGATGGGCAAAGACTTCACAGGTAAAAATGGAAGAGAAAACTAGAATGCCCAGGAACCACACAGCAAGATAGGCAAACCTCACTATTAATTAGGAAAATGCAAACCCCAAAGAAACAAAAAACACGAAACACCATTTCACCCCATTACATTAGCAACACTTAAGTTTGGCAATGCCAAGTGCTGGCAAAAACATGGAACAGGAATTTCCACATACTGTGGTAGTGGCGTACAACAGTCCCAATTGGATTCTATGAAATAACTAAGGAGAAAACACTATGAATGTGATACACACGTTTTCAGAAAAGAGAAAGAGGGAACATGTCCTAGCTCTCTTATGAAACTAGCACAACCCTGATCTATACCAAAACCGGACAAGGACATTACAAGGAAAGAAAATTATAAAGCCAAATTCCTTGTGAACATAGGAATATAATTTACTGCATTAAACAGGCAGAAAAATCATAAAAGCATTTTAATACATGCAGAAAAACATTTGATAAAATTATTTTGGCAAATTAGGAATAGAAAGGAATGTCCTAAACACGATCAAAGGCAGCTACAAAAAAATTCAGAAAAAACCTGCAGTTAACGTTGTCAGGTGAAACATTAAATTCTTTCTCCCTGAGGTAGGGAAGCAGCAAAAGGTGTCTGTTTTCACCACTTCTGCTCGACATCTTACTTGAGGTCCCGGCCAGAGCAAAAAGGCAAGGGAAAGAAAGAAGAGACACAGAACTGGAAAGTCAGAATGAAAACTTCCTTTCTATGCAGATGTCACAGTGTATAAAGAAAATGCTAACATGAAGTGTGTCAATCTACAACTACAACCTGTCTGCTTGAGACAGCCTGGATAGAGAAGTCCTGTTTGCAGTGGCAAATGTCACCAGGACAAGGAGAAAGAAGACACGTTCTTAGGAGAAAAGACACAGCTTATTATTCTACTGTTTTGGAAGGGCCAAACAAAAGGGGTGCTGGGAGGTGGAGGCAGCATTCTCCCTCCCAAGGAGTTTGATAAAAGGCAGAAAGATGTGAAAGCAGTCTGAAGAAAGGTGCTTTTATTGACGGAGTGGGTGACCCGCGGGGCAGAAGGCAGGATTCCATGGGAAGGGAGAGAAGGATGGAAGAGGAGTAAAACAGGTAGGAGGCAGAGGAGCTGGGCCAATGGCCCAGGAAGAGGGGTCAGCATGGGTCAAAGGAAAACAGTTCCTGCTCAGAGATGAGGAGGACAGCGTGCACACGGGCGAAAATGCAGGGCACACAGCTATGAAGATGAGCACACTGGGGCTGTGTTATCCACCAGTGGAGGCTGCACAGAACCTAACGCAGAGGAGGCGCTGAGGGTGATGCGTCATGTGAACCTGCATCTTCCCTATGTTCAGGTGAGCATGGAACAGAACGATGATTTTTACAAACCTCCATTCAAATATTAGATTCAGAAGAACTGGTACATAAATACTACTTCCAGAAACTGAGTTACGTCAATAAAACATTAACACCTATTTAGCTAAAATGTCTGTCCAATACAATGGTCATAGTCATAAAAACAGGAGACGCACTTTTAAGAAAATCCTCAGTTTTCACCGTCTCTAGCTTAAAGAGCTCAGTGGATTATTTCTCACATGGAAAGTCCTTCTGCACAGAAACGACGAGTCCTGAGTTGTATGAGGATTACACTAGTATAGCGGTGATGCCACCTTCTGAGTGTCCTACCTTCACCGTGTGCTCCCTTAGCATGTGTGTGGAGGCCGAGGGAGGAGCTGGACACAGCCTGAGAAGGTTGGGTATACTGCGAGGGCAGTGGAGGTGGTGGGGGCGTGGCCTGGACTGGGTCATAGCGTTTGTCGCCAAATGTTCTATCCGCCGCATCAGAGTCAGTGGACTTGCCCCTGCAAAAAAATGAAGAAAACGTCAACACCTGAAAATGGACTCACATTTACAACAAGTTCTCACTCCTCTAAGTATCCCTAAGTTGGTTTTTTTCTAAATCGAGAAATTTCCCAATTTATTCTTATGAGTTATGGATAGCTACATTCACCAGCACAAGAAATGTACAGACAGTACAGGTACTTGAAGAAAATCAGTGAAACACCCAGAAGATGGCAACCGAAAGGCAGATGAAATTTTGGGTATACTTGCAATATTTAATTGTATTGTCTACTACTTAAGAAAGTCTTGCAAATATTTTGAAAAATATTTATTGGCCCACATCTTCCTTAAAGTCACTTCCGACTTCATATCTAGGGTAGAAAGCCTTGGATTCTGGCACACTCACAGCACCCCCAAAAAGTGATGCCACAGACACGGGTCAGCGAAATTTTTTAGGCAAGGGCTGGATAGTAAATGTTTTGGGCTTTTTGGGCCATATAGTCTTGGTCACAACTATTCAAACTCTGCCCCAAAGCAGCCACAGACAACATGTAAATGAATCAATGTGCCTGGGTTCCAGCAACACACAAAAACTGACATCTTTTAAATTTAAAATTCGCCCTTGATTTCCCATATCCACTTTTTGTTTACCAATTGCTAGAGAAGCAGATAATGCTTAATTTTACAAGGCTCATTTAAGTCAGATTGTGCCATTATGTTTGTTTATTCAGATTGCCAATTTTTAGTATGCAGCGCATAAACGTCACATCAAGGAAACCTGTAAAATAGACCCATAATTGCAACACTGCCATCTAAACCTTTGCGGAGAGCCAAAGCAGCACTGGCTTTATGTGCACAAACAGTGACGCAGACATGCGGAACGTACTTTCCACAGAAGACGTTTGTTAAAGAATTCTAGTTTGATCATTAGATTTAAAACTAGGCTGTTATCTGCTTGCCAGCATTTAGAGTAAGCATTGGCAGATGATGTAAAAATCCCGAAGTGCACATAATGCCAATGACACAGAGAGAGACACCTCATGAAACAGCCTCACATCAATGCCAGTCTTACCACTTGATGCTCCTTTTCAAGTAGTCATAGCTAGTGTAAGAGCCAAGAAATCTAGGTGATGGCAAAGCAAGCGCAATAGAAAAACGAAAGAAAATGGTCAATCTAACTATGAAATGTGCAGCAAATAGAAATAAAATGTCGTTTTAAAATAGCAACCAAAATATACGCATCCAGTATTTCAAAATAATTCCATCTACAAAATAAAACATTACTGACTCTCATTTAGCTAGGGCAATTACTGACCAAGCTAGGGAGATTGGTGGCTCAGTGAGGGCCCGCCCACTTGCCCACCCCTCTCCCTGCACACACTCTAACTGAGGCTGTCTGTCAGTAGCGGCGTGTCCTCTTCCACCTCTGCCCACTTCTGCTGCAGGTGCTGGTGGGGAGCAAAGCAATGATCGGAATCAAGAAGCAGTACTACAGATAGCCAGCAGTTTCAAAGTAAGTGACAACGAAGTGCTCTATTAAAAGTACAGGGCGAGGCAAAAGAAATTCAAGGGAAAGCACAGAAGACTGACAACACAGCAGCAGCTCCGATCCCGAGGGGTAAGGAGGGATCTGCAAGCGGAAGCAGGCATCCCTTTCTGGCAAGAGACCCTGCCCACCACCAGTCCCAAAGCTAAGGCAGTGTTCTAGGCCCTGTCTGAAAATCACACATCACAAAAAAACATTAAGTCTTTCTGGAAAATCAAAGGAACATGAAACCAAAAGTTCCATGCTTGCTATCTGAGCCCCTGGCAAAACTTTTTACTTACTTTTTTAGACCTCAATGTATTCTTTTAAGGCTGCATTCTATTTACTAAGTAAGTAAAAGGATAAATAAAATCTCTCTCCTTAACCTACAGACCTGGACCCTCCTCTGACAGGAATGAATGTGTTTAATGACAAGTAAAAACGATTACGAAAGGTCCGCCCTTCTCCCTTACCAGGTGTGAGCACCTACGATGCAGTGTCCTGCTTGCCGGGGTCTGGACACTCTCTACATGCACTGGGCACCTCTCTATAGTGTTGTGTTAGGGAAGTTCACAACACTGTATATAAACACTGTCTGCATGTAAGACACTCAAAACCTGCATTGGTATTCCTTATAAACTGCTTTCTTCTGTGGACAAAGGTTTAAATGGGTGACAGTGGAAAAAGGTTTTAAATCTTCACTTCAAATGATGTATTAGAAAGAAAGTGGTTTGTGATGGCTTTGTGATGTGTCAACTGGGCCAGGCTGACGACTGTCACAGTTATTCAAACACTAAGGAAGGTGCTGCCGTGAAGGGGATTTTCGGTGGTAATGCCTCTAATCAGTTGAGTCATCAGTTCATCAAAAGGAAGGTTATCTGGATGGGATCTTGAAAGAGAACTTGGCCTTCTCTGTGCTCAGAGACTTCCAAGCAGCTCTGAATCTTCTCTTCCTGCCCCAGGAACTTAAGACATGCTCAGCCAGCTCCCACAACTGTGTAAGCACGTTCCTTGTAATAAACCCACACCTGCTTTCCGTCCCTGTGAGCTTGTTCTGTGGAAGTATGAACCCGCCTGTGCCTGTGTGGTTTATACCCGCTCTCAGTACCACATTTTCTATCACTTGGGGTTCAGCCAGAGAGGCAGAACCAGCAGGAGATAGGAACCCACACAGGCACATGTGGGTATATACCCCGAAAGAACCCATAAGCAAGAAAACCGAAGAGACAAGTAAACAGAAGGGAGCAAGACAGAACAGGGAAAAGGCGACTGGGAGTCAAGAAGCTCCACCCGTCACGTCACCTCACTGCCTGCTGGTTTCCTCAGGTATCAAATCAGACCAGAAAGCTCTGAAGTTGCCCCTTGCTCCAGTAATAAAAACAGACAAGCTCTCTCCTGCCTTGGAAAAACCAGCCCCTCCATTATCTTCCCTCAGGCTGTGTAGCCCTCACGACATCCCTGTTTTTATATCTAAAAAACCAAAGCAGAAAAGAAGGAAAAGAACCAGCATGGATTGTGCTGCATGGAAACGACTTCCAATTTACCTACAACCAGGGTCTTCACTCTCTTACCTTGGATTTTAACATCTTTCCCAAGACAAAACTTTACAGTCTGATGTCAGAGTTTAAGAACAAAACACACACCCTAGAGCTAGAAAGTGCGTAAGTGCTGACCTGCTAGAGCCTAGAGAGCATGCTGAGTACTTGGCTATTTCCTTCAAAATGTGATGCACTGCCTGTAATTAACTCCACCTTATGCGACTGAACCTGCATGTGTCACCTTACTTTCAAAAGGCGAGTCTTGAATGAAGGCACTTACTTGGAAGAATAACTAGAAAAACTGGCTTGGTTCTGAGCATGGACCGGCTTGGCAGGCTCTGCGAGGTGGCCAGCAGGAATGTGTGCAGAAGGCTTGCTCTCGAAACTTCTTCGATCAAAGTAGGAGAGCTGTTTTCGATAATACTCCTCATCTTCCTCGGGGTCATAGTGATTTGAGCGAACAATGTCTTCAGGGGGCTTCGGCTGGGGTTTCTGAGGCTCTGGGATCCTGACAACGAATGGCAAATGGAACAACTTTTTAATGTGCATTTTACAGACACTGGGTATATAAATTATTTAACCTGACCTTCCACTGACTGCTGTGGCTCCCCAGGGACTGGCAAAGCAGCCCAACAGTCAGACGGACATTCTAAATCCCACCTCTTCACATGCTTTACTCAAAAGGCCCATGAGTCATTGAACGCAATCTAATAATAATAAGCCTGATTATTATCTGGTTAGAGGCCTCACAGTAAGTTAGGAGCAGTTAATTACAAAAAGAAAAGGAAATTTAATCAAGACAGTGAAGAACTTCTTGAAGGACACACATACAGCAATGTCAGCAACAATAACTAACAAAATTTAACAACTTTTTAAAGGGTTTTTAAGAACTTTAATCCAAGATCAATAAATGATCCTCATATAAGGAAATAGCTCTATACTGTCCAAAGTTCTAGAGGGCACAGGAAGCAGATGGGGAAGAAAGTAAGTTATTAGGCAATTTAATACACCATTATGTATGCTCTGCTTAGTAAATTTTAGAAACTTGCATCAAAAATGCATAAACTTAAATAGTTTTCACACTAAAAAAAGGGGTGGAGGGCTAAGCTTCAGTTCTTGTAAGTTTACTTTATGTAATTCAGCTCATCTGCTAATGACACTGGCTAAAGGAGACACCAGTATTTTACGTTTTCATGAAAAACACTGGACATCATTAAAAAAAAGGAAAATGTATATGTTAGTTCCTCTTTATTATGAGCACAAATGCAAGCAAATAAAGCACATTTGTCAGGCAGAAGACTGTGTCACTTCAAATCCAGTGTCACTTCCAAGCAGTAGGATGAGGCCACGGTTAAGAGCACAACTGGCCGGCTTTGTCTCCCGGCTTTGCCAAGGCCTACGAACTTGACCCCACTCAGCCTCAGAGCCTCTTGAATGTAGGTAAATAGCTGTCTTCCTGTGTCGGGCTGAAGTACTCAGCACAGGCAAGCCCATGATGTATGCTCACTAAATGATTAATTTTAGCCAATTTGAGTCTGTTTCCTTATCGCTGAAAACTAAGTTTGCATATTTGAAAGCATTTTTAAAACTAAAAAACTTAACACAAATGCTAGAGCTGCACAATTTTTTTTTGAATCATTTACTAGAAAAACATCTGTCCACAATATTTGTTTCCTGCAGCTGGAACAAAGCTCTGTTACAGAGGTGTAAACAAGACCTGGGGTTCCTTTCGAGGACCAGCTGTGTTATTTCCTTAGAAGGCTGGTAGTTCTCGCTCCAGGGCAGACACGGTCCTCTCCCATTCCCTGTCTCCTCCACTACCAGGCAGAGGCCTGCTCGCTGACTAAGTGACAGTCCTGGTCGGTTCCTGCCACAGACACACCACCAAGTGTACCCACCTGTACAGTGTCTTGTCATGTTCACTGAACTGATTCTGAGAAGTGGCTTTTGGACCGATGACAGCAGTGCTTGGAGGTTTAGATGCTACCTCTGGAGGCTGCAAAAAGAAGACAAACACACCGCAGGAGCAGATAATTACAAAACAGGCTTCTTGGAGGGGGGTGGGGGTGGGGGTGGG